AAGTGTAGCAAAACAATAGCTTTGACTTGATGTTTTATTTAAAAATGAAAAAAGTAGATAAATATTAGCTAAAAACTAAAGATAACAAACTGCTAGGTAAAAGTGGCAAAATGATAGCTAAAAGTAGCAAAACACTTGGTAAAAGCTAAAAGCTGCAAAATGTTTGATAAATGTATCAAAACATTAGCTTTCATTTTAACTTAATATTTTTCAAAATAAAAGTAGTAAAGTAAAAGGGCTGTTAGGTCCCTGTATGACCGGTGTCAGAGCCTGGTCCGCATCGCCGGCAGTAAGTCGGGCTTGTTCCCGGTGAGAGTTGGACTCCGCCAAGGTTGCCCTTTGTCACCGACTCTGTTCATAACTTTTATGGACAGAATTTCTAGGCGCAGCCAAGGTGTTGAGGGGATCCGTTTTGGTGGCCTTAGGATTGCGTCTCTGCTTTTTGCAGATGATGTGGTCTTATTGGCTTCATCAGATCGTGATCTACAGCTTTCGCTGGAGCGGTTCGCAGCCAAATGCGATGCGGCCGGGATGAAGATCAGTTCCTCCAAATCCGAGGCCATGGTCTTGAGCCGGAAAAGGGTAGAGTGCCCTCTCCGGGTCAGGGAGGAGGTCCTACCCCAAAAGAAGGAGTTCAAGTATCTTGGGGTCTTGTTCACGAATGAGGGAAAAATGGAGCGTGAGATCGATAGGCGGATAGGTGCAGCGTCTGCAGTGAAGCGGGCGCTGTACAGGTCTGTCGTGGTGAAGAGAGAGCTGAGTCAAAAGGCGAAGCTCTCAATTTACCGATCGATCTACGTTCCTACCCTCATCTATGGTCACGAGCTTTGGGTTGTGACCGAAAAAATGAGATCTCGGATACAAGCGGCCGAAATGAGTTTTCTCCGCAGGGTGTCTGGGCTCTCCCTTAGAGACAGGGTGAGAAGCTCGATCATCCGGGAGGGACTCGGAGTAGAACCGCTGCTTCTCCACGTCGAGAGGAGCCAGTTGAGGTGGCTTGGGCATCTGTTTAGGATGCCTTCTGGACGCCTCCCTGGTGAGGTGTTCCGGACACGTCCCACCGGAAGGAGGCCCAGAGGAAGACCCAGGACACGCTGGAGGGACTACGTTTCTCGGCTGGCCTGGGAACGCCTCGGGATTACCCCGGAAGAGCTGGCCCAAGCGGCTGGGGAGAGGGAAGTCTGGGCCTCCCTATAGGCTGCTACCCCCGTGACCCGACCCCGGATAAGCGGAAGAAAATGGATGGATGGATGGAAGTAAAAGTAGAATAATATTAGCTAAAAACTAAAAACACTAGCTAAAAGTTGCAGAATGTTGCTAAAAATTGTAAAAGTAGCAAAAATCTAATTAAAAAAAGTAAACGTAGCAAAATAATAGCTCTGACTTGATGTTTTTTCTGAAAAATGAATAAAAGTAGTTAAATATTTGCTAAAAACTAAAGATAACAAACCACTAGATAAAAGTGCAAAATGATAGCTAAAAGGAAAAACAAAATGCTAGGCCAAGTGTAGCAAAACAATAGCTTTGACTTGATGTTTATCTTAAAAATTAATAAAAGTAGCTAAATAGTAGCTAAAAACTAAAGAAACAAACCACTAGATAAAAGTGCAAAATGATAGCTAAAAGAAAAAGAAAAAAATGCTAGGCTAAGTGTAGCAAAACAATAGCTTTGACTTGATGTTTTTCTTTAAAAATTAATACAAGTAGCTAAATAGTAGCTAAAAACCTAAAGTTAACAAACTGCTAGGTAAAAGTGGCAAAATGATAGCTAAAAGTAGCAAAACACTTGGTAAATGCTAAAAGCTGCAAAATGTTTGATAAATGTATCAAAACATTAGCTTTGACTTGATGTGCCATCCATCCATCCATTATCTTCCACTTATTCCGAAGTCAGGTCACAGGGGCAGCAGCTTGAGCAGGGAGGCCCAGGCATCTCTTTCCACAGCCACCTCTTCCAGCTCTTCTGGGAGGACTCCAAGGCGTTCCCAAGCCAACCGAGAAACAGTCTCTCCAGCGTGTCCTGGGTCCTCCCCGGGGTCTCCTCCCAGTTGGACATGCCCAAAGCACCTCTCTAGGGAGGCGCCCACGGGGCATCCTTACCAGATGCCCGAACCACCTCAACTGGCTCCTCTCGATGTGGAGGAGTAGCGGTTCTATTCCGAGTCTCTCCCGAATAACTGAACTTCTCACCCTATCTCTAAGGGAGAGTCCAGCTACCCTGCAGAGGAAACTAATTTCAACCGCCTGTATCCGCGATCTTATTCTTTCAGTCACTAGGACTTGATGTTTGTCTTAAAAATTAATAAAAGTAGCTAAATATTAGCTAATAAACTAAAGGTAACAAACCGCTAGGTAAAAGTGGTAAAATGCTAGCTAGATGGTAAAAGTAGTAAAACACTAAGTAAAAGCTAAAAGTTGCAAAATGTTGGCTAAATGTATCAAAACATCAGCTTTGATTTTGACTTTAATATCTTCTTCAAAATAAAACAAAGGTAGTAACATAAAGGTAGAATAATATTAGCTAAAAACTAAAAATGCTAGCTAAGTTGCAGAATGCTTCTAAAAATGGTAAAAGTAGCAAAAAATTTGTTTTAAAAAGTAAAAGTAGCAAAACATGGGCTAAAAACAGCTAAATGCTTGCTAAAACCTCAAGGTAAAACACCAACTAAAACGTAAAAGTACAAACCAGATTCCAAAAAAGTTGGGACACTAAGCAAATTGTGAATAAAAACTGAATGCAATGATGTGGAGGTGCCAACATCTAATATTTTATTCAGAACAGAACACAAATCACAGATCAAAAGTTTAAACTGAGAGAATGCATCATTTTAAGGAAAAAATCTGTAGTTTCCAAATTTCATGGCGTCAACAAATCCCCAAAAAGTTGAGACAAGTCCATTTTTCCCACTGTGTGGCACCCCCCCTTCTTCTTACAACACTCAACAGACGTCTGGGGACAGAGGAGACCAGTTTCTCAAGTTTAGAAATAGGAATGTTCTCCCATTCATGTCTAATACAGGCCTCTAACTGTTCAATCGTCTTGGGCCTTCTTTGTCGCCCCTTCCTCTTTAAGATGCGCCAAATGTTCTCTATAGGTGAAAGATCTGGACTGCAGGCTGGACATTTCAGTACCCGGATCCTTCTCCTTCGTAGCCATGATGTTGTGATTGCTGCAGAATGTGGTCTGGCATTATCGTGTTGAAAAATGCAGGGTCTTCCCTGAAAGAGATGACGTCTAGATGGGAGCATATGTTGTTCTAGAACCTGAACATAGTTCTCTGCATTAATGGTGCCTTTCCAGACATGCAAGCTGCCCATGCCACAAGCACTCATGCAACCCCATACCATCAGTGATGCAGGCTTCTGAACGGAGCGTTGATAACAACTTGAGCTATCCTTGTTCTCTCTGGTCCGGATGACATGGCGTCCCAGTGTTCCATAAAGAACTTCAAATCGTGACTCATCTGACCACAGAACAGTCTTCCATTTTGCCACACTCCATTTTAAATGACCCCTGGCCCAGTGCAAACATCTGAGCTTGTGGAGCTTGATTAGAAATGGCTTCCTCTTTGCACTGTAGAGTTTCAGCTGGCGACGGCGGATGGCACGGTGGATTGTGTTCACTGACAATGCTTTCTGGAAGTATTCCTGAGCCCATTCTGTTATTTCCTTGACAGTGGCATTCCTGTTTGAGGTGCAGTGACGTTTAAGGGCCCGGAGATCACGAGCATCCAGTAGAGTTTTACGGCCTTGACCCTTACGCACAGCGATTGTTCCAGATTCTCTGAATCTTTTGATGATGTTATGCACGGTTGATGATGATAACTTAAAAGTCTTTGCTATTTTACGCTGGGTAACACCATTCTGGTATTGCTGCACTATCTTTCTGCGCAACTATGGTGGAATTGGTGATCCTCTTACCATCTTGGTTCTGAGAGACACTGACACTGAGAAGCTCTTTTTATACCCAATTATGTTGTCAATTGACCTAATTAGTGTTAATTGTGACCAATGCAGACATGTTCCTGTTTTTAGTTTTCTACATTCGCCTTAGAATCTAGCTGTTTTTTTTGTTGTTGTTACCTTTTCCTTTTAGCCATCCTATTTGTAAAAAAAAAAAAAACAACAACCCTGCAGTATGACTTTTTATAATTGTTTATTGTTGTTGCTGTTGTCCATTGTTGTCATCTTTCTTTGTTGAAATCAGGTCTCTCTTGTAAATGAGTCCTCGAGGCTCAATGGGATTTACCTGTCTAAATAAAGGTTGATTGATAATTGGTCTTCCAGCTGTTGGTTATATGCTCAACTTCCTTTTTCCAGCCACTTATTGCTACTTGTCCCAACTTTTTGGGGATTTGTTGACACTGTGAAATTTTGAATCAACAGATTTTTCCCTTAAAATGATACATTCTCTCAGTTTAAACTTTTGATCTGTGATTTGTGTTCTATTCTGAATAAAATATTAGATGTTGACACCTCCACATCATTGCATTCAGTTTTTATTCACAATTTGTTTAGTGTCCCAACTTGTTTGGAATCCGGTTTGTAGTAAGCTGCAAGCTGCAAGCTAAAATTAGTCGAATGCTAGCTGAAAGTAGCAAAATGCTAGCAAAAACTAAAAGTAACACTAACTAAAGGCAATAAAAAACTAGCTAAAAGCTAAAAATAGCATATGAAGACAAAAACAGAATAAGCTTTCAGATGTTGATTTCAAAGTGAACAATGTTTGTGGAAGAATTGTAAATCTCCATGGAGAAATATTTTGTAAATAAAGTTAAATATTTTGAAAAGTATAAAAGTTACAAAAATCAAAGGTGTAATATCTTGATTGAGTTTGAACAGTTTGATATTTTTATAGCTAAATATCATACAGTAGTCAGAAGTAGTTACATGTCAAACAGGTACAGAAGAAAAGTCAAAGAATAAAGAGAAACAGATCACCATTGCGTGGGATTAGGGATTAATGCTGGGATTAACAGCAGCCACAGAATAATGGTTACCTTTAACAGAAAAGGCCGAAGCAGGCAGCAGCTCCTTCCTCTGTTTGGGTTGTCTTCGGTCATGGAGGAACTCGGTGTACTGCTTCACCCTCTGGTCCACCGCGTCTCGAACCAAAGCTGTAACTTCCTAAAAACAGTTTGGAGTTAAACCGTTGCACCGGATACAAGTTTGAATTTGTTGTTTTGTGAAAACGCTCGCTCGTGTCCAATTACCTCGGTCTGGATGGCAGTAAACCAGTCAGTGGACTCCTGAGGGCCCAGGGGCAAAACATGGAGATCCACCAGCACAGCAAAGTTGCCACACTGTTACACAAAGATGAAGAACAGCCGAAGGTTGCTGAGGGGGCACTGAGCATTCGGGCCACAAAGACAAATTGGAGTGAGTGATTGACAGCGAGGCAAATCACAAAACAGCACCCAGCTCCTCACTGCAGTTCCCCTCCCTCATGTCTCACCCGCCACTCACCCTCCTTAGATGGCATTAATCTGGCCTCCAGTTCTAATGTTAAAAATCTTGGTGTTATTTTTGATCAGGACATGTCTTTTATCCCCCACATTACAAACGTTACTAGAACCTCCTTCTTCCTCCTGCGTAATATCACTAAAATTAGAAACATCTAAAAATGATGCAGAAAAACTGGTCCATGCATTTGTCACGTCTAGACTGGACTATTGCAATGGTTTATTATCTGGATGTCCAAATACGTCCTTAAAAAGTCTTCAGTTGATCCAAAATGCTGCTGCCAGAATCTTAACTGGAGTTAGTAGGAGAGATCAAATCTCTCCAGTTTTAACTTCTCTCCATTGGCTCCCTGTCAAGTCCAGAATTTAATTTGAAATCTTACTTCTAAGCTACAAAGCCATTAACAACCTAGCTCCATCTTATATTACAGATCTTATGGTTCCATATTTTCCTAATAGAGCACGTCGCTCTCAGACTGCAGGCTTACTCGTGGTTCCTAGAGGTTCCAAAAGCAGAATGGGAGGAAGATCTTTCATTTATCAGGCTCCTCCCTTGTGGAACCAACTTCCAGTTTGTGTCCGTGATGCTGACACATTGTCCAGTTTTAAGACTGGGATTAAGACTTTCCTTTTGATAAATCCTATAGTTGGTGTTGGCTTGTTGTGCTGCTATAGGCTTAGTGTACTAGAGGACAAACTGACCTTATTTCCTTAAATGAATTGTGACAATTGAATAGTTTATATTTGATATTATTTCTATCTTAACATGTGATTCTTGACCTGCCATTGTGTATCTGTTCCTCTCAAACCCAGCCGGTCGAAGCAGGTGGCCGCTTGTCCTGAGTCTGGTTCTGCTAAAGTTTTCTTCCTCGTGAGGGAGTTTTTCCTTTCCACTGTCGCCTTCATGCTTGCTCAAGATGAGAGTTCAGTGATGGCGTTAAATTCAAATCAGTCTGCTCCTCAGATAAATAATGTTAAATTATTATTTTGATATATGAATGTTTCTGTTCAGTGCCCTGTGATGACTTATTTTGTGACTCTGTGCTATATAAATAAACTGAATCTGCATTGATATCTTTACTGAAAGGTTTCCTCGTAAAACAGACAGGGCCCAAACCAAGAAAGTTTTTGGGTTTGCTTAAGGAAAACAAAAAAAAGAGGTTTCAGAGTCAGTGACGATACTCTCCAAGGGTGAAAGCAGCTGGACTGGACCTCTGCTGGTTAAACTGTTGTTACATCTTTCTCAGGCGAGTCGGTCTACGCTTCACACATGAGTGCCAAAGCTGCCCGCTCGCAGCGCACAAATGGATGTAGGTCTCGTGTGAACTTCGCCTCTCCCTGGACGTGGAAGCGACGGACGGACCGAGACCACCCACAGCACGGCACAGAAGAGCAAACAGCACTGGCCCAAAACCCCGGAGCTGCACCGCGACACAAAAAGAAACGCACCGAAGTGAGAAGAGCAAAGACACAATCAGAAAAAGAGTTTAGGACACTCGTTTTAGCCTCACGTTGGAGACAGAGCAGCATTATTTATTTAGCAAGAAGGATAATGCGTGAAAACTCCATATTTTTGCACTCATTTCTATTTTTATCAGCATTTCCTCCTGGTAATTTTATGTTTCTTTCAGCTTTTTTAGCTACTTTTCAGCTGTTCTTTTTTTAATTTTTGGTGCTGATTTCACAAAATTTCCACTTTTTGTGCTCATTTCTGCTTCTTTCAGTTTCATTGGGCAAACGTGTTCTTTCTGCTTTCTTCTGCTAGTTTAAGCTTGTTCTACCTTTTCAGCTAGCTTTTTTTTTTTTAGCATTTTTTAGCTAATTTCAGCTGTTTTCAGAGAAATTCAAGTTTTCGTGGTCATTTCTGCTACTTTCAGCCTATTTAACTTATTTGTGCTAACTGCAGCTTGTTATGCTCCTTTCAGCTTTTTTCTATGAACTTCAGCTTTTTCTGCTATTTCAGCTGCTAGTTAGCTTTTTTAAGGCTCTCCATCCATCCATCCATCCAATCCATCCATTATCTTCCGCTTGTTCCGAAGTCAGGTCGCGTGGGCAGCAGCTTGAGCAGGGAGGCCCAGACATCTCTTTCCGCAGCCACGTCTTCTAGCTCTTCTGGGGAGCCCAAGGCGTTCCCAGGCCAACCGAGAGACATAAGATATGTTTACATGCGCAAAAATCTTTGATTGGATTGAAATTTATTCAGATTAAATAATCCAAATGTATCATTTACATGGACACAATCCGTTCACGACAAGCATTTACATGCAGCAGGCTTTTATTATGAACAGAAGTACTGACATGTGCAGAGTGGTAAACTCTCCTTACAAAAACCACAGAAGAAGAAGTTCTACTTCCGGTTTACTTACGGTATGAACGTAAACAAACATGAGCGCCCAAAATGGACCCGCGACAGGTTTTAATGACGGTGGAGACGTTACTGCACTCCCTGACTGAGCTACAGGTGATACAGATCATTCTGAGCTCCTTCAAAGTTTCTAGTAGAAATGTTGTCGCTCACCGACCAGTTTGGCTTCCCCGACACATTAGCATCTAGGTGGAAATACGTAGGTCGCTCATGCACAGTCGGGTCAGTTTTCCACAATCAGAATGGAATGATCAGATTAAGTGTTTACATGCACACTGTTCAGATTATGAATCAGCATAAACCACCCCTCTCATTCGGATTACAAATCCATTCTTGGAATCTAGCTGTTTTTTTGGTTTTGTTACCTTTTTCCTTTTAGCCATCCTATTTGTTAAAAAAAAAACAAAAAAAAAAAAACTGTAGTATGAGTTTTTATAACTGCTTATTGTTGTTGCTGTTGTCCATTGTTGTCATCTTTCTTTGTTGAAATCAGGTCTCTCTTGTAAATGAGTCCTCGAGGCTCAATGGGATTTACCTGTATAAATAAAGGTTGATTGATTGATTCAGATTGAGCTGACTCAACAAAGAATAATCCGAATGGGGCGTTTACATGATGCATTTTTATTCGGAAAGGCCGTTTAATCTGATTACTTATGTCCATGTAAACATAGCTATATCTCTCCAGCATGTCCTGGGTCTTCCCCGGGGTCTCCTCCCAGTCGGACATGCCTGAAGCACCTCCCTAGGGAGGCGCCCAGGGGGCATCCTTGCCAAATGCCCAAACCACCTCAACTGGCTCCTCTCGATTTTATTTAGGCTAATTTTAGCTTTTTCAGCTAATTCCAAATTGTTTAGCTCATTTTAGCTCTTTCTGCTTCCTTCTGGTAGCATAAGCTTTTTATGCATTTTAGCTACTTTCCAGCCTTTTTTTTTTTTTTGCTAATTTAAGCTTCTTTTTTTCTGATTTCCTCATGTTTATGCTCATTTCTGCTTATTTAAAACTAATTCAGCAAATATGTGTTATTTCTGCTTTCTTATGCTAATTTAGAATGTTCCATTTCAGCTACTGTACACTTCAGCACGTTTTTAGCTAATTTCAGCTGTTTCTTCTGCAGTAAGCATTCACACTGCATTTTCACAGGAAATGCAATTTATCTAGTTTTTTTTTAATTATTATTATTAAATCCTTTGTCCTGAGCTGAACCCTTACAGAGACAGAATTGTGGGACGTTCCTCGGCTCTCAGGATGATACGAGGCGATGAATTACGGGGGTTGTAGGGTGAGACCCTCGGCTGCTTAGGTCCTGATTCCTGACTCGACTCTAAACTCTGTCCAGCTGATTTGTCTTGTAGTCTGAACGCTGAGTCAGCGTTCAGACTACTGTCTTCCTGTTTAAAGTGTCTTCTGTTCGCTGTTTACAATTTAATTACTTCCACGTACTCTGAGGATTTTTATCCATCTACAAATGAAAACGTTCGGGCGATGGTTACTGCAACTTTTGGCTGATATATATTTTTCAAAATATTTAACTTTATTTTTTTTAATTAAATTTCACATAGAAATAGATAAAGATATCTTGAATTTATTCAAAAACATTATCTTAGAAATTTGCAAACTGGCTATACTTTTGTCTTCTTTGCTACTTTTAGCTTTTCCTACAGGCCTGCTAATTTTAGCTATTAGCTACCGTACTGCTCTTTTCAGCTTTTAGCTGCAGTTCTGCTACTTTAACTTTATCATTCTCCTCCTTTTAGCTGCCATGTTTATGCTTATAGCTACTGTTCTAATAGTTAGCTTTAAGCTACCATTTTGCAGCTTTTAGTTACATTTCTGTTACTTTTAGCTTTAGGTTATTATTATTCTTTTAGTAGCCTTTGGCGGCTTTTAGCTTTAAGCTACAGTTGTGCTACTTTAAACTTTAGCATTTGTTTTGATACTTTATTCCACAGTTGTATCAATATTTGCATGTTTTGTTAATTTAGGCATCTAATTTGCTAATTTTAGCTACTGCTCTTGTGCTTTGAACTTCAAGCTACTACTTTTAGCTCGTGATTTGCTCATTTTAGCTTATGTTCTGCTCTCTTTAGAAAGTTTTTTTTTTTCTCATATTTGCCTCTGTTCTGCTTTTTTATTCGTAACAACTCTGTTTTAAATTCCTCAGCAAATTTCAGCAGTCAGCCTTTAAACTGCATTCTCACAGGATTTTTGTTCCGGTTTACTTTGATTTAAAAAAATGTTTTTCTTGATTTAAGAAGAAAAAACTAAATGATGATGATTCATTATGAACAAAAATGCTGCATAGAGCTCTGAGCAAATAAAGCTGCCAAATACTTTACATAATTTTTTTCCCATGAGAGTTTTTCTTTCTGACTGCGTCTCTGTTAAAAAAAAAAATGAAGTGAAGCTGGTTTCTTTTGTCTCCTTGAAGCAGAGGAGAGGGCGCCCCCGTTTGACTGATGGTTGAACGTTTCAGGTAGTATCTGATTTGTCCTAAAACAAACTGAGCCCGGTCTTTGAACACGAACCCTCACTGGGAACACAAAGCACGACAAAAAGGTGCAGGACTTCCACGGAACTGATTCTCAATTATAAAAACGCATGCGTGAGACCTGTCAATACTGTCTCATCCCTGTGGATCAGCATTCTCTTAGTTT